CGAGCTGAGCTGTCAATTCACCCTGCTGTTTCGTATTTACTTTTCGTATTTTTCCTACTCGAAACCCATATCTGACAAATGAGAACAACACTTCGAAACCCATAATAGGTGTCTAAATACATATGCGATACGTTCTCAGTTTACAAATACAAAGAAATCTAAATAGGCAAATAAATATATATTTTTTATCGATTTTGATTACAAATTTCAATACGAAATATAAACGACAAAGGGAAGGTAAAAGAATAAACGTGCACACACACACACACAAACACAATGTTAAGCTCTCAAATATACAAATGCACACACACGCACGCACACACACACAAATACATAAACTAAATTTAGAGATAGTGAGTAAACGATTTAAAAATGTTAATAAACATGCCAAATACGATTACGAGACAGTAGAGCACTTGGGACACAAAGATTTCGTCACTTTTTTTTCGAAATGAAGTGTTATGTTTGTAACTGCGTATTTATGTGCACACATGCAAACATAAATACATACATACATACATACATATATAACAAAAATTGAGACTTGAGTCCCGACAGATGCGTAATGATATTCGATGAAGCTGAAACTGAAACACAATGCCTGGAAAAAACCTCTATTAAGTTTTGATTCAATTAAAAATGTTGAATGTATGGATTTCAGCAGAGGGGGTGTTGAGCTGGGAGAACACAATATCTGCATTCGAAACTCAAATCACATTTTGTGCGCTAAAGCTGAGTAATTTTCCAGCTGTCCAAAACGCGCACTTAAGATTGAGAGGCTACAGTGGGTACAAACAAATTGAAAGCCGGTTGAAAAAGCCTGTATTCAAAAGTTATTCAACACTAAACTAAATAATAATCGATTGACTATTTTTTAAAAATTAACAGATTTAACTAGTTGAAAAATAAATTGTATATATGCACAAAAATAGTAGTTACATATTTAACTCAAATTTCCTATGCCCCACTGTAATGTGGAAAAGATATGAAACGCGAGAGCGCAACTAGCGCACGAAAATCAAGGGAGCGCTGCGTTGTCTCACACACACACACACGGCACAAATTTACGCTTATTATGTTGAGAATTTTTCAAGAAAAGAGAATAAGAAAAACGTAATTACATTTAACAAACCAAATGCGGCACACATAAAATATAATAACTGACAATAGCAAATCCAATCAGCTGAATCAATGTGTAACAATTCAGAGTTTGAATTTAGCTGCGCTCACGGTTTTTTAATAATCATATAACTTAACTATTTTTCAACTCAGCAACGCAAACACCTTGCCGAACAACAAAACTCACACGCACACTTGCACTTACACGCACACGAGGAGAGCGAGAGAGCGCGCTCACTCTCAGCAATATGAAGAGGAAGCAGAACAGAATTTCAACCAGCAACCACCACCACGATTTCAATACTGCGAAACTCAAAAATTCAAAAGCAACGAAAGCCTACAAAAACAAACTATATAGTCGCTAAACGTACATACATCAATACATACATATGTATGTACATATATGTATAAGCCGTTCGTTCGTGCATGTGCACAAATACCTTCGCATATATGTATTTGTATATAATACATTACCTCGTCGTTATATTTCGGAATGGCACAAATAATGGTTATGGAAAGGTTTGTTAGTTGTTGTATTGAGATTGTGAGTTCGACTGGGAACGGCAGTGCATATCTTTTGGAATTCTGTCGTAAATAGTGGGAAACCAATCTATGCGGACTATTTTCATAAATGAACAAATTAAATTTGTGCGTTAAATAAATTTAATATTTAAATTTAATTTATATGCCTGATAGTTTTTTTTTGTGTGGAGGTTTTGTAATTTTTAAAAAATGCAATTCCCAGTTAATTCCCAGAATTCAATTCGCAATTTGCGTTGGCCAATTTCTGGTTGAAGCGAAACGACAAACGAGATTTACAAGTATTGAGCGTAAAGTAACCAAAAAGAATGCTCTAGCATCCGGAACAGAAGAAAGAGGGGGCTGGGGTGGGGGGCCGGTTCGGGTCAGGGTGATGCGCTCAGCAGCAAGAACAGGAAATTTGAACTCGCGGAAAAATGCGGAAAAGCTTTGCTTTTGCATTTACATGCATTAAAAATGCGCACAGTTTTCTGGCTAAAGCGAAATTTTATCTGTTTTTTTGTATATGTACATATATGGGTACAAGTATCATTTACAGACTTATTACCGCTATATTATATTGAGCTTCAAATAAATAGTTTTTGTTGATAAAAAAGTTGAGCACACACACACACACACAGAGAGACTACGGCAGAGACGAAGTGGAAAAATGAAAGAAAAAGAAAAAAAAAGAATATACATTCATCTATGTATGTACGTACATATGTACATATATTTAAAACATTCACGACAACAAACGAAGATGATTCATTCGGTTACGTTGTTATATCTTGGCACAACTAGCTAGCTAGAATCACGAATTGAAACTGAGTTTTGCGAAAAAATAAAGAAAACTCAGAACCTGCTGCTGAAATGCCCGCAGCGTATGTTTCGCGACTCAGCTGATTTTGTCGCTAGGCTTTCGTGGGTTTGAGAAAATTGACCAATAAAAATAAGTAAAAATAAACACCCATATTTATTTCAATACCAGGCGCTATCTCAAACTGAACTATATTGATATTTCAAATGCATATATGTACATATATACCAATTCAGATAATTATGAATTTACGCCCGTTGATTGTTTAGAGTACTTGGGTCTCCATTGGTTAGATTATGTAGGAATTTAAACTTTTTGATTAGTTGATTAAAATATTTTTGCACTTTTCAGATACACTTTATGCCCATGCATAGGATTTTATAATTTTAGCACAAAGTATGCTATGCATAGAAAATTTCGATCCCATAAAGACCCCTAGTACCCCTGGCCTTGTCCGTGACACGTTTTAAATAAATGCTCTCAAAGATCTTTGGAAATGAGTTTGAAACCGACCGATAAAAAAAAATGTCATACAACTATTTTCCGCCAATTTACCACTGTTGCGGGTGAAATTTTCCAAGTCGCCGAAACACGTGTTCATTAAGTTCTTTTGTCGAGCTTTGAAAATAAGTTTGAAGCAAATCGGACAAAACTTAAAACTTCACCAAAAAAATCTTAAAATCGCACTTTCCACCGAGGAGGAATGGATTTTTCGAAAAGTGTGAAACACCCCTCAAATAAATTTGAACAAAGCTCTTTGAAAATGATTTAGAGGTCGATCGGATGGTAAACAAAAAAGTTGCATACAAACGTTTTTCGCGATTTTTCCACACATGCAGGTGGAATTTCCCGAATCAATCTAATCGACATCTGTTTACTTTATACAACAGTATCGGCCTTGAATAAAGTTTTTATAAGAAACGATTTCTATGCCTTTGAATGACAACAATCTTCAGTCTGTCATTCCTTTTTGGTTTATTATTTAAAATATCTGAAAATTTGAATAATTTTTTAAATTCAATACTGGGCATACATATATAGCTGTATCCAAATACACATAAAAATAATAATAATATATTTAACTATTTTTTTATTTGGTGATTAAGAGAACATTTTCATCGACAATCCTCTTGGCACACACATCAGTAAATCGGTATGGGTATATAGGCATTGATCTTGTCATTTTGTCGCTGCGAAATGCACTCGGCAATCCAAATGATATTGCGGCACTCGAGCTCCTTCAACTTGAGGTAGGAGTAGAAGATGCCATAGTGGAATTGCTGCAAATACGAGTTGACATGCATTTTGGCCTCCAGCATCAGGAAGCGATCATCCAAGGTGATCAGATTGTCCGTATCTCTCTCAATGTTGTTGAACACGCCGGCATAGGCCATGGACTTGCTGACGGCTGAACGCACTTGCTCGAAGTCGGCGCTGGTGGCCAATAGTTTCCTCATAACTGGACAGAGCTTGCCGCAGGTGGGGAATAGACTCTCCCGAATCTTGGGTTCCATATCCGTGTGTAGTGAGTTCACTGCAATCACAATGGTGCGACGATCCGCCTGGAAGCTCAAGATATTGCACATAACTTCAGCCGTGGTGCCGCCCAATTTCTTGCAGAATTTGTAAAAGTCCTCCAGATAGGACTTGTATATCATGCTGCGCTGGATCTCCACATCGGTATTATGTATCACCATCTTATCGAATTTCTTCGAAATGAATTTCGATATGGGCGTATCGATCAACACGGTATTGAAGAGCTCATCTATGTTGCTGGCCACTGCGATGGCCTCCAATTGATCGAACAGACCCAACGGATGGCACATGGGCAGTAGTTTTTTCATGGGCCGACGATTGTTTAGACCCGCCATCAGCAGCGCAATATTATCTATCATATGCTCGTATCGTATATAGTCCAGAAATGTGCTCAACGGTTCTGTGGAATTAACACGCATATAATTGTACTGGATTACAATTCTCTCCCGCATACGCTTCTCAATCACTTCCACATTAGCTACTTCCGTTTCGTTGGTCAATATGTGACCATAGTCCGTGTTTTGTATATTCAGCAGAAGATCCTGTAGCGTTTCGCATTGTGTTAGATTGAGATAATCGGATTGTTTCAATAGACCGTTTTTAAAGCCGCGCACCAAGCCTTCCAAGTAGCCGCTTTCGACATTGAACATCCAGCTGACCGACATTATGCGGAATAATTTATGAATATTCGGAATATTCTTTTCTTTTATTATATTATGAATATATTTCAACTCAAAAAGCTATTGTTGATTTACTAGCACAATAAACCAATTTTCAAAGCATACTTGTTTTATCTTTTTATTTGAATGCGCGCTAGAGTAACGCGTAACGCGCGCGTCATTGTGTGCGCGTGCACAAGGCGTTGCCACTTAGTTGTCTGTTGGCTAGCTGTTTTCTGTTGATCTGGCAATGTTGTGCATTCGTTTTCAGGCGCAAAAATGTGCATAATTTGATATGTTTATATTCTTGACACTGAAGAACAATAATAACATATTTAATTACACAATTTGGCGTCAGTTTCTTTTTATTGCTTAAAATTGTTAAATATTGTTAATATAATTATTGGTTGCACTCTGCCACTCTGCACATGCGCTTGACGCCGGATGCTGGGGGACCTGTTGCTGGACCTGTTGCTGGACCTGTTGCTGTTTACTTTTCAGTTTATTCAGTTTCCTTGTTGCGCTCGGTCGCTCGACATTGTTACTTTGGCAGCGACTTGAAAAGGCAAATATTTCAAATTATTGTGAATTCGACATCTTGGCTAAGATATGCTATGCAAATAAACTTACTTTGTTTACAGTCGTAAATATCAAACAAGTTGTGTTCAGTACTCAAATTCATAATTCTTGGCGCGTTGAATTGTCGCTAACGTCCCGACATTGTGTCCATTCTGATTATGACAGAACAATAACAACTCGTTCACTGTTCGCTGTGATCTAAGTGTGTGTGTGTTGGTTTTATGTCTATTCCAATTGCAACTTTAGAATATCTCAAACTTAATTGCGTCCAGGTGCGTTCAGGTGAGAAAATCTAAATTTGACAACAGCATAAATTGAAATGTGTTTGCAATTAAAATATATATATATGTATTGATAATTTCTAGAAATGAACTCGACTATATCATACGCTTGACTTATTTCTTATTGTCTGACTTTAAAATAGAATTAGCATTATATGTACACAGAACCACAAAATCTTGCATAAATATTTACATTAAACAAGGAGATAACTTGTGAATTGTCTTGTATTTAGCATATATTTTTTATTAATATATGAAAATATATTAGAAGAATATAGATAACATTTTATGTATACACTTCACTGAAAGAACAAAAGAAGTAGAGAAATAAAGTGAGGGAAATCGAGATAGGATATCATGTTTTCAGCTAAACTTGTTAACATAACACATACAATTACATGAGAATCGCATAGAGGGGCGATGTTTGAATGTTGCAAAGGGAACGCGGCATGCAGAATTGCCAAATTCACCATGAATGTTATAATATTCATATACTAATGTGTCATATTATTACAATGATTATTCTTTATTTTCTTCTAAAATCATTTCGATCGAATATATTACCTAGTCGTTTCTTCTCAATCAACTCAAGTTATTGCCCAAAGCTAGCCAAAGAACAATTCATTTCGGAGGCAACTCCACGTGAGGCGCCACCGATGACGCTTTTAGCAGTTAGATAAACCCATTGGACAGCCGTCACTTATTGACTGACATGTTGCCTGCAGACAGGGTATACTAAATAATAGAGTAATTAACAGTTAGCGGGGAAATAAGTTAATATCCCGCCCGCGGTGACAGCAGTCGTCATATTGATAACTTTTCTGACAGGTCCATGCGGAACGCATTAGAGCATTTTATTTATGGCACGCCCACATTTATTTGCAATGTCACGTGGCTGAAAGCGTGTGACAGATTTACGACTGCCAAACAATTGTTGAAACATTTCAAAACACTTCCACATCAATCAAATGTACATAGAATTTAAGGAAGCATTATGAACATTTTTACAAATTATGAAACTGCATAAATCATGCACAGGAATATCCTTGGATCAGTCTTTATACTATGCTTGGTTTATTTTAAGATATGGGAACTTACATAAATAATAAATAAAAATAAGTCAGAGCACTCTAGTCGGATGCACTCGACTGAGAGATACCCTGAAACTAGCGCAAGCTGCGCAATTTACGCTGTTTCTTCTTGAAAGTGTAGTCTTTATAGCTTCGGAGCTTACAGTCCGATCATTATGAAATGTTCAAGGCACAAATATGAAATCTAAGTGTGTGTATGTACCGAAGCGCAAAGCACTAACTTTGGAAATGATTTATTTTCCAATTTAAGGGGTCATGGTTGAGGTCTCCAAAATGACAAGTATTCTTTATCTGTGTATAGAAAAAACTGCATGCCAAGTTTTCTGTTTAAGGCCCTTGTAATCTTCGAGTTGTGCTGAAACAAAACATAAATCCGTAAATTCAATGGGTTCAAAATTTCAAGTGCTAAGTGGATATTGCCCAAATAGAAAGTTGACATAATATCTAACTCAAAATAATAATATAACAAAAACAATCACTAAATGCTCGTCACGAGTCATAAAATCACGTGCGCTAGTCTAAAATTACTTGAAATGTCTAATTAAAGTATTAGTTAAATTTAGATTATTTTCATTTAAAATGAAGTCAGATAAAGAGCTTTATGCTTTATATGCGGCAATAAACGAGTTCCTATAAGAAGAAATTTCTGGTTCCGAGCACGCGACAACTTTCGCATACTCTGCACACATTTAGTTCAAATGGGGATGATTGGCTTTAATAATGCTGTTCGATTTTAATAATGATGAGTGTCCATTTTAAACTGAGTTGTGTGGGGCTAAGCCCTGATTTTGTACTCACTTCGTCTCATCGAATCTCCACAAAGTTATTTGAAAATGTGTTTTAAGCCATTCACATGAAAAGGCAAAAAGTTCCATACAAGTTTTCCATTTGACCCACTTGCTGGAAGAGCTTTGATATAAATCCCATAAATCATAAATCATTTAATCAATCAATCAATCAGTCTGGTAACCAGTGCGTCTACTAGTCAGCCAATCAAGACAACAATCAAACAGTCAGTTAATCAGTCAGCCGACTAATCAATTAGTCAGTCAATCTCTCAATCAATCATTAATCAGTTTAGTATCTTGTTGGTCACTAGGTAAGCAAATCAAGAAGTCATTCAAGCATTCAGTCAGTTACTCAGTCTATTGGTCATTGAAATAGTCAGTCAATCAATCAATCAAACAAACAGTCTGGTAGGCAGTCTGTTCGTCACTCAATCAGACAGCCAGTCAATCTGTCAGTCTATAAGTCGGTGAAAAAGTCAGTCAGTCAATCAAAAAAACAGATAGCCAGTCAAGAAGTCTGTCAATCAGTCCATTAGTCAATCAGTGAGTTAGTTACTCAGTCAGGCTGTCTCTCAGTTAGTCAGTCAATCAGGACATATATTTTGATGTATATAGATGAGTTTTTATATAAAATGCATAGGTAGCACATAGTCGATCACTCCCGACTGCTGAATACATATTTTGTGTGGTCTGTTAATAGAAAAATTAGCTTTAAAAAGCACACGCCACTTGCCTGGCGCTTGGCCGTCGCAAAGAGACAGCTGCTGAAGACAATTACTCAGCTCTCCAGATAAGATAATGATGGGTACATCCACACACACACACACACACACACACACACACACACACAAACACACACACATGGAGTCCGGCAATTGTGAATACTTTTAGCGATTAATTAAGAAGACAACTGACGGAGGTTGCCAGCCGGACAATGGGACATATCGCACATATCGCACACATCGCCTCAAATGTCTGGCCGCAAATCAAAGTTGTGATTTTTATGAACTCACTCGAGATAAACGAGCTGCAAGAATTTATTGGCCACGATTAGCGGCGAGTTGTTTTAACGCTTTCATTGGTCAGCTGACAGAGTTAGCCGACCTAGTCGGGTGTTTCCCCAGTTCCGATAAGTCCATTTCGCTGCGTAGTGCAACTACAGTGAAAGCTCCACAAACGAACAGTTGGCCTGCACGGACTTCGTCCTGAGACGCTTCTCCAAGCACATCAAATGTATATATTGTTTTGATTGGCATAAAGATCAGACAATAAATAAACAAGTAAGAGGTTCTAGGTGGGAGCTCCCTACTAGGGGATAACCTGAACCCTCTTCTTCCAACAGGCGATAGATATAAAATGAAGAATACTTGATGTATATATACTATTCTAGAAGCTACATGTCAAGTTTGGTGACTCTAGCTCATTTTATTTGCCGAAATTGCTCAATAAACAGGATTTCGATATAGATTTTTATCGATTGCTTGGAAACGGGACAAGTTATCGAATATCGGAAACAAACTCGATCTGCGCGAGCAATAGGAGGACCTACAACCAAAATTTCAAGCTTCAGTCTCTAGCTCTTATAGGCTCTGAGATCCTTGCGTTGATACATACGGACAGACGGACGGACGGACAGACAGACGGACATGGCTAGATCGACTCGGCTGTTTATGCTGATCAAGAATATATATACTTTATGGGGTCGGAGATGCTTCCTTTTTTCTGTTACATACATTTGCACAAAACATTATACCCTTTTTACCCGTTTATAATGGGCTCAAGGTATAAAAATGTATCCAAGAATCCATTTGAGCCTGTGCCTGTTCACTCCGGCTAGCTTTCACTGTACTTATCTAGAAGAGCAGTTGGTATCAAAGTGACATTTGCTATGCGACCTGCAAAGTGCTTCAATTAAACGTCATAAATAATGCAATTTGACAGTCGTTTGTCGCCGTTTGTCTTCGAGGATTGGCCACAGTCTACATGGAACATGACGTTCAAATTGATTCGGACATTTTCGATTATGATTTGATTTCGTTATAAATTATCAACTTAACAGTTGATTGAGTTTCGTGAATCACTATTATACCAAGCAATATGTCAGGCTTTAATCTAAGTAACTAACTAACTAAAAAAGAACAGGTAGACTATTTGGTATGCCGGAGATTAAGTTCTCTGTGTGGCTTATGGACATAAAACTTAGATGTGATTTCTTACTCAAGCGTTATTTGCAACCGATTCTTCTTAGAGCAGCAATTTAGTATTCCAATTATTGTTGGGGCTTTGCAGCTTTGTTAAGATAATTGAAAAGCTCAAAAGCTCTGCTCTTCCAAAAAGTCAATTTTTGACAGACTATTCATAGAAAGATAATCGGTGTCTTAATTCGATATTCATAAAATGTAACTCATATGTGAAGAGCGTGGCCAAAGTTGTTAAAGCCTTGTTTGGCTAAGAAATCTTGAAAAACTTACTTAGTTTTCGACCGATATTTTCCATGGCTGTTATATGATATAGATGAATGATTCCATAATCCCTGCTATAACATGAATTTGTAAAGAATTTCAGGCCAAAAGCTTGAAAGCTTTTGAAAGTAGACTAGATGGACTCGACTGTTTATACTGCTGAATAATATTATTATTTCTATACCTTATTTCTATAAGGTATATAGATTACAGCAATAAAGTATATCCTGCTGAAAAATATAGCATATTAATTTCAATAAAGTATTAAAAGTACATTCCCTATAAAGCTATAAAGTATATTCCCTATAATGCTATAAAGTAAATTCGCATAGAAAGGGACATGCTTTATGGCTTTATAGGGAATATATATGTCGTGATAAAGATAAATTCCAACACAGCTATAATAATACACTCTGCAATGAAGACTATATGAACTATGTGAAAATAAGCATAGCTCATACGCCATGTTAGCCAGACTCAGACACAGACACAGTGATTGGGCTTAACTAACTTAAAGTCATCAGCTTTCATTCAGTTTAATGAGCCTATTTAAATTAGTATATATCCTGAATATATTTATATGCAGCCGTTAGGGTTGTCACTTGAGTTATTTTCGAATTTGATTGCTCATACGCCATGTTGGTCGATTAGAAAAATTATTTCGTAAATAAATAATTTGACTGAACGCAAATCCAGCTTATTTTAATTGCCAGATATTTTTGCTTGCATTTCATGTGCTGCGCATAAATGAAAAAATTAAATAAAACGCATATTCCATCGACAAAATAAATAAATAAAATTGCTTAAAAACAATGTGACGCGTTCGAATGTATGAGATAGTTTCAAAGCGAGGCCAGCTTCAAGAAATGATCTTTTTTGAGTGTTTAGTGTTTGCCATAATTTACACTTCGTTTCAGATTTAAATGCCCAACAAAATAGTTCCAATGAGTTGGGTGAAAACTCATTTGTAAATTTTGCGAAAGCAATTAAAGCTCATAATAAAATATGCCCGCCCGCAGTTGTAAATGACTGGGAAAACAATCGCTGGAGAGCATTCGGTTTCTTGTGTATTTTATGGTCTATTTGAATTTGGCTTATTTCCAAAAGACAAAAATCCGTGCACTGCGGCAGATGAGAGAATGGCAAACAGCTGTAGCCGGTAAAAATTTTAATTATGCCAAGTACACACAAATCAGGCCGAAATACAACACAAACAGCCGCCAGCAGCGCCAATTAAAGGAAAGTATTTCACTTATTTCTCTTTCGTTTTATTTATTTTTTGCATCTCTTGACAGCCCGACAAGTGGATCTCTGATTGTTCATTATGCTCACATTCATATTTCATAACTCTTTTAGTTTATTTCTCCAAATAAATATTCAATAACTAGATTCAATAACCCTTTTAAACATTAAATACTGATTACCCCGTTGAACCCGTTCTTACGGATTTATACAACGTGTTCTTGAGCTCTTTTGTTTGTAATTAGAAGAAATTACCCGGCCTTGCCCGGTTCAAATTAATAATGTTAACCAACTTAATTGCGCGTCTATGAATTCTACCTAGTTAATATAACAATCAAATTAAAAGGAAAATCTAATAACTATTCTTTACACCTATGAAATTTTGCCTTTTTATACTTTTTATACCCTGTTGAAGTTGTTTTTATATCTATTGAAGATGAGTAAAAAGGGTATAATGGTTTAGTGCAAAGGTATGTAACAGACAGAAGGAAGCATCTTCTTGATCAGCATCAAAAGCAGAGCTGATTTGGCCTTGTCCAGCTGTCTGTCCGTCTGTTCGTTTGTCCGTCCGTGCCAATGAACGCGTCGATCTCAGAACCTATAAGAGCTAAAGATTTTGAACGTAGGTCCTCCTAGTGTCCGCACAGTACAAGTTTCCGATAATCGATAACTTACCCGTTTCCAAGCAATCGATACAAATCGATATTGAAATACGGTTTTTGATTATGTTATGTTATGTTTTAAAAGCTAAAGTCACCAAACTTGTCATGTAGCTTTTAAGATAGTATAGAGTAAAGATATATACTATATATTTTATAGCATTTTATTGCTATTGCCACCCGTCCTCCACCCATAGCTTGAAATCAAATAAATAAATTGATTGGAACTACGCATCAATTAAAGCCACACTTTTAATGCTGTTGTCTTTTTGAGAATAAACAAATATTCTATAGATACACAAAAGTTATTTAAGTAAATAATAATGGTAATATTAACAAGCCACGGTCAGCGGCAGCTAGCTGCATTTGGTCTTGGTAGAAGAAGGTTCAGGGTATCCCCTAGTCGCGCACGATTATTTATTAATATTGTTTTTTTTCTCGTTAATACAAATATAAGAAATAAAATGAAATGAAATGGATTTCAAGTAATTTCATCTATTATACCCACTTACTCAAATCGAAAAAGGAAATTTTAGTAAAATTTCCTAGCTTTTACGATTGATCCTTATCGATTTTGTAGAACTAAGGGAAATTATCGAAAAATGCTGACAATCGATCCAAGGTTCAAAAATCAAAGTGTTTGTAGAGTCTGAAATTGATTATCAATAATTATTGATAATTATTGTTTAATAATTCTAATTTATAACGGGTAATAGACCTTAATCACGGTTAACAGAGGTGTAAAAGCAATCACAGGCCGAATACCTTAAACGATTTTTTTCAATAAATATATTTCATGTAGTAAAATAAGATATCTTTTTATACGATAAAACGAACACAAGTATTAATATTTAATAATGTTTATATGTGATCGCCTTTACTTACTAATTGTGAGTAAAGCATGAATGAAGTATAAGCTATATGCCCTTTAATATTCATTTTCAGTTTGTACAGGATATAACAACTATGGAGTAAATCCAAATACATGCACTTTATGATATACCCATACCTTAGCGTCGGCGTTGAGCTGCATATTTGAGCATATTATGAGCATTATTTGTTATTTAGCCATTCACTTGGCATATCATACATCCGCTGTGGCGTCGTCGATTGAGTGCAACCATCATTATGGGAATTGGAACTGCCCACTTGGATTGCATAGGGCCAGCTGCCCCATTTGTTGTGGCCCACTTGACGCGACCTTGCCGCAATTTTCCGGTTCACGCTTTTCACTTGCCAGCTGCAGCCCTGAGCTGCTGTCGACTGCCACTGAAAGTTGATCAAGTTTTATTGGGTTTTTCGAGTGCTTCGATGTTGAGTAGGGGAAAGGGGAAAGGGGAAAGGGGGGTTATTGCAATGTTTGCAGGCCCCATAAAATGGTTGACCAACTGCAAGCTGTTAACACAAGTCTTGAGTGTGTTTACCTTGAACTTGACCTTGCTTTCCATTGCTCCACTCAATTCAAATCGCATTTGCGGCTTGTGGCATTTATAGTTTCATGGGAGTTTTTCATCTGGGAAAAGTGTTTGGTGTGGCAAACAACTTTTTCAGATTCGATTTGTGCGACAATTGCAATGGCAAACAAAGTCTGAAAAACTTGGATAGGTAACTTACTTATCTGACTTTGAATAAAGGTGCATCACATATAATCATCACATTGAATCAACACGCGTCCAAATGTTTTAGTCAAATGACTACGACTAAGAATTACCTTGTATCCAGGCCCAGATCTACCCAATTAATAACAGTTGTTCGGCTCTGCGATTTTTAGAAAGAAAAATTTTAATATTTTTTTCTAGTCGATTTTAAATTGATCCAATTTGAGCCCATAATTATAATTATATTTTACAAGTGTTGAACAGAATTTGTAATAAAAAACAAATTTGTATCCAAGCCGAAATATTTATCCAAGTTTTAGTCAAAGTTTTTAAGGATATTATTATTATTATGGGAATATCTCGGGTATAATAGGTCTCATCTTTAAATGATAATCTTTTTAATCTTTTAATAAAAATACAAACATCCCAAGGATTACATCACAGTGATAGTGTTACATTAAGTCCGGTTACTTCAAAATGTTTGCCAAAGTCTGATTGATTATAATTCAGTCGAGATAAAGTCGTTCAAGGTTTTTTTTTAAATTATCCAGATTTAACTAGACTATCTTGGGGTAATTTTACCTCTTAGTTTGTGTGTGTGCTCTAAGATCAGGCCAAATAGCTTTATAAATAGACTAGGAGATAATCTGTGCCGAAATATGAGGCTATATTCCGTTTTTAATATAATTCCTATGCGTGTGTCCAAAATTATTTGATTGTCATCTACTAGAAGGTGGAAGAGAGTCCTTTGTATGAACATAAGTATAACTCATATAACAAAAGAACAACTTGCTTAAGCAATCGAAGCACAAATACGTGTAAGTCTTACTTGAATTAATGAGAATCACATAGTAGGGCGACATTTAAAATACGTACGTATTCAATTTCCTGCGCTGGGATCAGTAAAGTCTAAAGTCTACATTTGGTAACATACAATATACCATTTAGATTATGCAGATTTTATTACCACCAATCCAGCATTCAGGCCAGCCGTAAGCAAGTTCAGAGACTGCCCAAATGACCGCTGGACTTTGGGTGAATGGACGCAGGACAAGTTTAGCTCAAACTTAAATATCTAGAATGTTGGGGCTGGTCAGTTTTAGAAGTAATCAAGAGAAGCTTAATGTGTGCTCTCAACTTTGAACCGGAGCGTACAAAATGGCCGGGTTGTTCGAAACTTATGTCGACCTCTGCGATTGACCTTCGCACAGCTGGCCGCTGTCGCAATGAGGCGTTAAAACGCAATTGTTGCCAAAATGCTTTGTCCCAATTGCCGGTCGACAGACGCACAAATGTATTCTGTAAAAGATGATGGATACGTGTTCGCCATTGGACTTGATGTGCCGACAAGTGCGGGGTCAAAAGTAATGCCAACGACTGGGCACAAGTTTGCATTGCCGGCACATGCTGCCGCGTAAATATGTAACCACAATATTTAACTAGCAGTTAACTGATTAGCATCTGTCTGGACATATCTGCCCGGCTATGCAACAGTTTGTCCAACTCGTCGTTTGATTTAAATACAGCTAAAATAGCATAAGATAGCATTCGTTTTTAGCATTATAAACATGCTTGTATGCGGGCCAAATAGATCCCGATAGTTGCCGTCTGGACATACTTTTAGTGCTTAGCCGCTAACCATAGCTAAGCGATACCCATTAAATTTGTTTATAAAGAGTATATGGTTTTGTGCAAATGTTACAGGCTTCTTTGCCCACACGACTTATTTAGACTCTTGGTCCCTCCGCCTGACTGTCTGCCTTTATTGATACTTTTATTGGTGAGAGTTTTGTGTTTAATAATATTCACTTTATTATTTCAAGTAATCGGTAACTGCATTCGATTCAAATTTAAAGACTATTAACTTTTTTTGATTACCTTCTTCCACTCCCAAAAACATACAAAAATCTGAAAGATATAACTATCATTTTCGTTATAAACTACATATGTACATAGATTTTAAAGCCAGCCTTAAGTCCTTAAAATTCTAAAAAGACAATAAGCACACAAGTTATTAAGGAATGAAATTTTTTAATGGTTCGGGTTATTATATTTTGTAATGGTTCGGGGATATGGGAAGAAGAAACGCAGCGAAAAAGAAAAAGTAGCATCGAATAAGAAGTAGCAAAAATGAAGAAGAACCATAGACCGCATGCATTTGACTATATATATTGAAAGGAAAGAAACATATTTTTAACATCTCACAGCTGGATACAGGGTATCTGCTAGTCACGCAGCACTCTCGCTCCTATTCAGCTGTTTGCAAACTCTAGACAGAGAATTAATCTAAATATTTTGTTTCACCTTCTTTTTTTTTGCAATGTTTTATTGTCTAATCAGCTGGTTTGAGGTAAACAGAAATCATGACTACCAAGTATCAGAAGATAAGTAGCCGACTTTCTAGCTGGGTACAGTTGGCTCCAACTGAGACCTGAGATAACTGTCGCAGCAGTAAATTTCGACTGCAGCTGCTAAAAATATTTATAAGCAACACACACACACACACACACACAGGCACAGGCAGGCACACACTCATGTTGTGCACACATGAAGTCAACAAATGTCACGGGACGACAAAGTATGATATAGATATGAAATACAGAACTCAACAAAGTTGACAGCCACGAGTCTGAATTTATGAGCAGATTTGCCCGCTTTTCGGTGTTAGTAAACAGGAAAATGTTCGCCATTTTTAAAAAGCAAATACCCTTTAATTTGTAAATATAAGCCAATTACAGTCTGCAACAGTTTGATTTCTGACAGCGCGAATAAGCTCATGATTTATGAACGACAATTCATCGCCACGTTGCTTAAGCCATTAAATGATTAGAGCTTGGTTATTATTGTCTCCCATTACTTAACCCAACTTAGTCTTAACAGTCTTTTCTTATATTCTCTATATCTTTATCTCACAACTTTAACTTTCAACTCTAAGGGTTCTAAAAGTACAGTCCTAGCATCGGTGTTGCTTTCTTTCCAAAATCGATACTACTCGCTTATTCATATTTCGATAATTATATCGCTTAAATGTCTATCGATACATACATTGCTTAAAAAGAGTACCTAAGTATTTCATACTTACAATATAATTTTGCTTAAACAAAAAAAGGGAAATTTTGAGGATACAATCTTGGAAGCCGTGTTCCGGCATGTGATAGACATAAAACACAAAACCTAAGCGATACCCTGTGAAAATCTCCGATAAATACAGTCGTACTTAAGTGCATACACACGCACACATATACACACACATGCAAACGGTATAAGGCCCTTCTCTCTTTTGCCTTTACTCGATTACCATATTAAGGCTTAATTTTATTTGTATATAACTTCTTTATTTGTTGACCGATTGCTAAGTATATAATGTGCAGGGCTCTATATGACATTCAAAGGTGTGGACATACCTCTACTACTAACTTTTTTTTTTTTCGAAAATTTTGAGGGTGTGAAAAAGTTTTCTTCAAAGTGAAATGCTTCTATAAGCTCAAGAGCTAGCATTGAAATCGATATTAATTGATTATGATATCGATAATTTTTGATATCCACAAAGAGTTATCGAAGCTATATATAAACTTGTATTACGTATGATATGCGAGAGCTTAATCGACTCCCCTCGATGTCCCGATTGGGGTTATATATATAAAGTTTATTGATTCCATCTGTCTATTTGATAACAGTTAAAATGTTAGCAACTGAATTTAATACCTTGCAGATCTAGTTAACTGAGCACAAATTGTCTATAATATTATATAAAACGCAAAATTGTGAAAAATTATTCAAACATTGCCAGACTTTTAAAGCTAATTTATATTTCGATACAGTGCCTGCTTAAGAATTACAGAAAGAAGCCAATTAAATTAAGACGTACAGAACGAATTCGTGTCCGGAATGCCCCGAATAATAGCAAGAAGGAAGCGCTGCCATCAAAGTGCCCTCCCCTCTGAGTCCGAGCCTCCAATCAAGCGCACGAGGCAGCAAATTTTGACAGCTGCGGATGGAGATTCGGCCGGCATTAATCCAGCTCCAGTCAATGAGAACGACATCAATAGCAACAACATAATGTCGACCATAGCTGGAGGATGTGAGCTCGAAATGGTAGAGATTGTTCCGATTATTCAGTATGAGCCGGAGCTGGGTGCGGAGGAGAATCCATTTTACTATGAGCCCAACAAATTGTTAAACCAGTTGCATGCGGAACGCCTCAAACGCAACGATCCATAGTTTATCTATTCGATAATAGCTGTCATTCAGAAAAAAATTGCAAGTAAATAGGGGCTGCAGGCATGGTAATATAGGTATTAAATTTCAAATTTCGTTCAACTTATTTGTCGGACTAAATGGTCCGACTTCGTTCACACAAGCTGAATTTATTCACACAGTATTTTTTGTCACTGTTCAAAAATAAAGGTCAAAGGTAATAAAACGTAAGAGAAAATTCGATCTATATAAATGCTAATTCCGAAGGTTGTGCTGAAATGAGGCCAAGACTCAGATAAATACTAATTCACACAAATTATATTTTTACTATTATATGGTCGAAAGAGTGCAAAGTCAAGGCTGTAAGCCGAAGATCGAGGCGAACCAGTCTCACGTAAAGCTAAGTCGACCCTGCCATGTCCCTCCGTCTGTCCGCCTGTATGAGAAACCTTGATCTTGGGAACTACAAAGGATTACAGAACGAGCCTATCATCATTTTTTCCTCCCATTTATAATATAGATTAATGTCGATTTTGAGACATGGTATAAACCTAGATTATGTGTACCTTGGCCCATTCGACCCAGTATTTTTTAAGGTAGAGGCATATTTTCAAATAATGTATAATCAAATAAAGTATAATATAATCAGAGGTAAGGGATAATATATAAGTTTTATATATAATTTATGCTTAGTCCATTTTAATACCTTTTTTTTGGGTATTCGAATTTTGTTATGCAATGTAGAAGAAGGCGTCTTAAATGCCTTAAAGTAAATAGATTCTAGAACAGCATCAAAAGCCAAGTTGACATAGCTATGTCCGTCAGCGTATTTTAATTCAAACTAGTCCCTTAGCCTTATAGCAAGGTCCGTCTTTCTGTTGCAGGCAGTACATATGAAGGAACCAACAGGATCGGATCACTATATCATATAGCTGTCATAGGAACAATTGCTCAAAAAGTACGTTCTTGAATGAACAGCTTTTTTGTTTATTAATATACGTAGATCAAACTCGGCATTCTTTTCATCACACTCAGCATTTACGAGCTTCACTATTCGCACACAGCTGCCAAAGGGAAATGTCAACAAGGGTATTAAATCTTAGGCGTGCCGCAGATATCTGTACTTTCTTGTCTATTTATCATTTATTTATTCTCAATTGTGTTTCAATACTCGCGTCTTAAGCAGGGCATCAAAAGCCTTGGGATAATCTTGCCATTCTATAGTTGTACTGAAAATCTAGCTAAATATGCAAGATTTTCTCATAATGCAAGGACGTCTGCACTTCAGAGTTGTGAATCCTTTTATCAGCTTTTTAATATTAATTATGCTCGGAGCATAGTCTATTTACCTTTTATTTGGTCTCAATGGTGTTTTAATATTTGTGCTCTTAAGCAGAGTCTGAAGGGCATCAAAAGCCTTGGGGTCATCTTGGCACCTGGCATGCAAATCAATGAATTGGCCCAGTTAAGTGGAGCAATGCCATCGAGAATGCCATCACCCTCTCAGGCTGCGAACGGGTTCAATATAGCCACAAAACGAGCAGAGGTCAGCAGGGGCGAGTCCAAAGACGTCACCATTGACGTTCGCTCCGGGCCAGGGTCGGGCAAAAATCTGGCTTGATTCTGGATGGCAATGCGCGGCACGCAACGTGCCAGCTGACAACAACGTGAGTTACGGCGTTGCATGCAACTGCTGCTGCCACCTGTGGTCCTGCAGACCTGCAAAGCTGTCGTCCAAGGACTCGTTCGGCAATCGCTCACAAAAAGCTGCATCTAAATTAAGAAGCTGCACTCAACTGCTGAGGCCCGACCGCAAGTAGGTCGAGCAAAGTATGCAACCTATTATTCAGGACCCCAAGTAAAGATAGGTTGCGTGTGTGAGTGTGTGTGTCTGTGTGAGTGTGTCTAGCGTTACGTACACTTAAGCTTCAACACGTGTGTTGAACACACATTCGCATCTCCACGTGCACGTTGGAATTATTTTTGGAACATCTTCGTGGTCTTATGCAAAAGATTTCCTGCTGGCAAGGACTCTTTAACTGTAATCCTCTGCATGCCAATTTAATAAATATGTATCTGTCGATATTTGTGCTATCCAAGTACAAATACGCTTTGATACCCTGCACTGGCAATGGTTCATTGAGGGTATAAACGACTTTTAACGCAAGTCTAACAGGCATCCCTGCCCGTTTGTCTGCCGTCCCGTTCGATTTTATGAGAACTTGGAATATATTTTCTTTTTCTCATGAAATCTTCGCTAACTCTATGCATTTGCCCAAAGTCGACAAGTATTGATTTTCAGTCTGAGTTTGTTGAGTTGTTTCTCTTAGGCGTATTTTAGATATTAAACTGTCGCCAAGTGGAGTATATAGGCTCTGGTATACTCTACACTCATAAAATGTGTCAATGTGGAAATTCGAATTAATGCACACGGCAGCTGGTAGGTGTGCCTAGGGTATCAGCCAGTCGGGCACTCTAGAACTGAAGCACTTTTGTTTCGCCTTTTCCACTCGAGTTAAGTATCTACGCGTAATAGATATTTGTTGCCAACTCGAGGAGGCTTGTTCACAACATTTTAATTGCCAAGGTACGAGCACGCCCACACAGGCCTGTTTATAAAATATAAAAAATTCTGATTTATGCAAGCTCTATGGGCACAAACAATTAGGTAGAACAGCAATTAACGAGGGAAAAACTTTCTTGGCCGCACTTGGCTTCCATCTTGGGAACATTTTATAGTTTCAGCTGTATTTGCAAAAATAATAATTTACTAGCGGGAAATATAGGAAATATAGTATGAGTAGACAATTAAGCACAAATACAAATAATCATAAACATTTTATGTCTACAGGGACGGAATAAACAAATAACGGGCTAAATTTTTTTTAAAAATATTTGACAAATTATCAAGCTTCTAGATTGTCAAGGGAATATCATTTTACAAAATAAAACAAAGCAGATATATAAAGTGACTATTGTATTATAAATTTTAATACTTGCCTTTACATTCAGTGCACATAGCTCAACTTTTTAAGGCGCCGCAAGAGCTGAATTCGCACCTGAACTCTTGTATACGAGGGTTGCACAATATGTTGTGCTCCTTGGCGACAGTCGGTATTACCAGGTGCAACTTGCCATTTAAGCTGGAGATTTTCAAAAATAATAATTAGGCGGGAGTGCCCGACTAGGGCATACCCTAAGCCCAACGTCGAGTTGCGTAACTGTTGTTTATCGTACGAACCTTATGAAATTTTCCGGCACAAATAATAATCATCCTCCAAAATGTGTTGTTTTTTTTAACTTGTGACGAATTGTGATGGAATTTTCCAAAAAGTTAAGATTTCTGGATTTGTGTATGCTGCAATTATTTGTATCTGGGTATCTGGAAATATATCGATTTTTATCGATTTAATGGAATCCGGACAAGTTATCGATGATTTGAAACAAAACTGATCTGTGCGGGCAAATGGAGGCGGTTGGTGCTAAATATACAGGCCTCTAGCACCTCGTTTCGCACTCGGACTTGATTCAGGTTATGCAAATAAAAGTTAAAGCCATTTCAATTGATTTAATTTTCGCATTTTGCCTTCGAAGCGCGCAATGTTAAAGGCAGCCCTCGCATAAATTGTTGAAATTTTGAGAGCTTTTTGCTGTCGACACATTTGCATATGTCAATAACTGAATAATCTGCAATTGACGTCAGTCTAAGAGTGCATTTAACAAAATATTTCAATGTATTTGAATGTACTTGCGTTTATTCTTGCTTGGGAATTGCTTTACTTAAGCAGTAAAACAGAATATCAAAGAAATATGGGGAACATGTTGAACATTTTTAATTTCAAGTGGATCGATCTAGTCTAGGCTAAGTATTTTATTTTATTATAGGTTACACCTGAGTGTATGTGTGTACCTCGTTTAACTAAGCAAATATTACAAATACCTATAATTCTCTTTGACTATAGTATATTGGAAATCTGAACGCCCAATTTACAGGAATTTTCTATTAGATTTCCCCTCTGTGGTTGATATTTGAAAACGTGTTCTAGCAATGTTCCCATTACGAATGTAATGCGAATGTGCACGGGAATTGAGTTTAATGTATTCCAATTAATGTAATCGCTACATTGGCTTATTACGTACCTATCTCAACCACTTTGCATAACATTTTGATTTATTATACGCTCGTAAATGTAAAGACATGAATATTATATGAATCACAGCCGCTTCAGTTATTGTTATTGTTGTTTAATTCACTTTTGTCGAGCTGTTCACGAGCAAATAATTTGTATACAAAACATGTGACACCTTGCACTTTGCACAAATTGTGTTTGCATTGCATATTCCGAGGAAACAATTACCAAAGAGCTGTGCAACAAGTGTTAACTAAAGTCAATAGAGCCAAGTTTGGGGTATATATCACTATACCCAGCAAATATTCTAACTAAAAGTTGTAATGTAACAATAACATAGTTTTGATCAATGTAACAGTTCATAGCTTAACAGAATGTAAGCAACATATATTACAGCATCTTAGTTCATGTTTTCTTATGTTAACAGTATGTTATTTTCACAGAGTTAACATTTCTTGCGATTGATTAACAAACATATTTGTAAAAGTTGTTTTCTCTAAGAACTTTTATAAGTTTTATTTTGCTAAAAATAATATGTGAGAATTTACCAATTCAATTGAAATTTCTTTTAATCTTTATTTATAGCTATTTATTATTTGTTATGCTTTTTTTTCATATACTGTGTGTGTTTTACAAACATGTAATATACCCCATTTATATTTAGGGTATTCAAAAAAAGCGTGCAGCTTGTAACAAAAAACAAACAAAACGAAAATCGTGTAAAGTGAACTACACGCTGATTGTTTGCGAAAGCTTAATGAGAGAGACAGAGCAACACAGTAACGGAGAGAGAGAGAGAAAGAGCGACATGGAAAGAAAGAGAAAAAGAGATAGATCGATCGTGAGATTAAATAAAACGTCCGCTACGCAGCGTGACAAATTTATGAGCAGCTTTTTAGCTTTTTATCTACCTATCTATCTAACTGTCGATGTCAACAGCTGTCCAGGATTCATCAACTTAGAACGCTCTATCAATAAATATTATAGAGTTGCTAGGGGGGAGGGGGTGTTCTGCATTTGGCTTGATCATTTATGGCTCTGACGTTTTGATTGATTCTCTAGGGTAATTTTTGTGTCATGTGGAATGACGGCTGCCACCGTTGTCGCGGCTCAAAACTTTTGCGCACTGCACGATGTGTGAAATTTAGGCTGTTGAATGTTATTCGACCAGAATTCATTGCATACTTTGCGCGGCAAAAAGGAGCTGCGCCTGGCAGCTGAAGCTTTTTGCGCTGACCAAGAGCAACCACTGCTCGGTTCGAGCTTTTCATCTCGGCAATCTCAGCGTCGATATGATGATGACTATTACTGGCGGCTATTGACGCATCGGGGCTGTCAGTTGCGCAGCGTCGACGGCGGCGTTCTGACAGGTTTGGATTTGGCATGCTGAAAAGCCCCCGAGCACAGCGGACAGTTACAAAAACAAAAGAACAAAACGAAAACACAACAACACAAAATGCTTGAAAAGCCGAAGCCGAAGCCGTAGACGAGACGATGCCGATGCCGACGCCGTTGCCAGTGCCGTGGCTGTTGCCGTTGCCGACGCCGACGTCGACACCGACGCAACGCCGACGCAGACGCCTCGTTTGCCAACTCGATAAAAGTGTGTGCTAGATGACGTTACCGTTACCGGTCGTGATTGTTGTTGTTGCTGTTGTTGCTGCTGCTTTCAGCGCTGCTGCTGCTGCGGCTGCTGCTGTTCACATTTGGATAATAAAACTGGCAACGCGCACTCGAGCGCCAAGTTAATTTGCAAACGCTGCTCATACGCTGCGGAGGCAAGAAGCAAAGCGAAAACGTAAAGCAGCAAGAACGCCTCCGGCCAGAGGCTTACACGGTCGCCGTCACAGTGTTCCCCCCAGTGTGCCCAAAGCGCGTGCGTGCTCAGCGTCCAGTTTGGCCTTATTCGCATTGACAGCGACAGCCACATCCACATACCCAAACGCACACAGTCAAAACAAACGCCCGCCGCAGTCTTCATCTCGTGTCGTTCCTAGTAAGTCATTTTTGTTCGAGCATTCTTTCTGTTCCGTCGCATTTTGGAAATCAGTCGCGATTTCTTGCGCGCTTCTCTCATTTAACGGCTCTTCACTGCGCGGCAAAACGAGTGCTAATAATACAAAAATAATAATAATAATAATAGAAATTACACAAATTATTTAACTACACCAGTTACGGTAGCATAATTAGGCACTAAAATTGCTTATGTGATTTTCGCAAGTTTCAAAGTGAAAACATTGTTATATATACTAAATTTTTTAAAATACGCTAAAAAGTAAGCGAGTGTACAATTAAAAGAGATATATATATATAGATATATACATATATATGTACATATATATGTATGTATATAGTATTGTGCTTTATGATGTTTTCCAAACAGTGCGAATATGAATTTATGAAAATATATGGCAATATTATGTAAACATGTATTTATTTTTAAATAAATGTATATTATGCGTATTTTCTGGATGTTTGAAAAAAAAAACCGGACATCGGTCAATATAAACACAAGTCAAATTGTTTGAAAACTTGGTCAAAACTGTGAGAAAACTTGCCAAAATTAATAATTAACACATCTCTGAACTGTTTATACGGACAGCAGCTGTAAGCAGCTTGATTTTAGTCAAAAAAAAAAATAAATAAATGTGCATCCAAAAAATATGAAAACTGTAATAAAAAGTTTTCTACAACTAAAATACTACATAAATACCATGTAAAAAATTTGCATTTTCGATGTTTCGTTAATTAAATCTTGCTTAATTTAATGAGAGTTTTTGATTTTTTGAATTTGCAATAGATGAGAGCATATAACGAAAGTTTTTTGAGTTCTTAAATACCCTTTCAAAACATTTGCGCAGTCAATATACAATTTGTATCTGCTTTAGAACAAATGAGCATATATTTGCAAACCAGCTCATAAACTAAACAAGCCCGGATTTTTTTAAGCTAATTAAATAATTAGCAAATTAATGCCCAGACACAATAAATAAATGTCAAATATTTACAACAACAACAACGAGAACAAGCACGTGTTTTAACAGAATTCCAAAATGTGTTTATAAAGTTTATTAGCCTATTTATTATTAGAGGCAATCAACTCATAATATAATTTAAAAAATCCTCAACTGGTTTCATTTGGTTTGCAGAATTCGGCGAAGGCTGCCAGCAAAATCGTCTCGATGATTGACTCCCGAGTGCTCAAAGCGAAGACGAAAAGTGTGCCCAGCAATTTGCACAATTTTCCGTTATAACGAATGCCACAACAAAGCAAAGACAGCAGACACCAAAGCAACCGTCAGGACAACACTAAAAGCTTTTCAGATATATTTAACTGTAGACAATAAGTAGCCAATGCCAAATAGAATGATAATGGATAAATCTGAGGCAGCCGGCGAAAACGCTTGGACCAAGCTGCTCACCGAGGACACCAGCAAGAAGCCCGAGATTGTCAAATCCACAATCATCAACAACAACAAGGAGCTTAACACGAAGGCGACAGCAGCGCTTAACGTGGAGCAGCTGAGCACAGCAGACGTAGGCGCCGGCGCAGGCGTCAATACGCTGCCTCCCAGCGCAGGCGCTGATCCCGTTGCCGATGCCAGCGCCAATGGCGAGCAGGCCTACAATCGCAGCGCCACCTATGGGTCGGGCATCAACAGCGCCGGCGGCGAGTCCAGCGGCAGTGGAACTCTGCTCTCGCGCAAGGAATCGTTCCTGGGCTCATTTCACAAGCAAATCAGGCGCTCCATAAAGGCGGTCAGCGAGTCGCCGGGACCATTAACTAGGTGAGTGTTAAGACTCTTAGTTATCAATTATTATTAAATATTTACCACTAGATAAATATGCATCTTTGATCAAATTTATAAAGTATTTACTTCACGGGCTTAGGCGAGTAATTTATTTTGTGTTGAACTTGAATCAAAGCAAGATAACCTCAAGAATTTCTCTTATAAATTTGATATCAACAGCAACTTTTTAGCAAATACTTAAATAAGAAAACTTAACAGTTACCCAAATACCGTTTCTTAAAAAATACATATTTTAATTGATATAATACCTAATATAAATTGAAATAATTAAATGAAAACAATTAGTTAAAAAGAGAAGTTTTTGGAAAAAAGGTTCCTAACTTGATCAGTTTCTTCTTCTGTAGGAAAGAAAGGAAGCATTTGTTTATATTTTTTTATTTAAATGTTGAATAGTTAAGTTAAAACTAAAGCTAACTTTAGAAAAATATAGCGCGGGCTTCTGAGGCCTTCGACTATGTACAGGATCTAAAGGTTAGTTTTTAATCATATAGAATTATACAAAATTTTGAAATCATTATAGTTTTTTAAAAATTTTCACTTGAAATTTTCAATTAAAAATAAATAAATATTAATTATAATTTAATATTAATAAATCAAATAAATTTAATAATTTATAAACTAAATGTGAATGTAAATCAGGTTTAAAACTCAATCCATATCCACATACATATGATCAGATTAATTATGAAATACTAAAGTTATTAACTTTTTCTTTATCTTTAAAAGCGTGCGATAGCAACATTTTCTCAGTTTCTAAAATTCGTGGAAACTAATTTTAATTAAATATTTCTTATAATTTTCTTGGAGCACTAAGTGCTTTTTGTTGTCCTCTTTTCCACTAAATTCTTGAGCTACGCGAGTTTTCGTCTGCTTATACAACCTATCTTATTGGAACATATCTTAGAGTTTCTGCCACATATTTTACTTAGTTTCCAGCTTTATTAATTTCTTGAATTCGTGGGAATTAATATTAACTACTTATTTTTAAAACTTTCTTGGAACATTAAATTATTTAATCCCAACTAATTTAGTTTATTGCTGATTTGGTTAAAAGAATTGCGCAAGAGTCCAAAAATATTTAGATCAGATACAGGTTTTCGAAATTTTAAATAACTCCCAAAATTTCTTTAAACACGTAAGAAATTGTCATAAAATATCAAGTAGAAAGTTACGGCAGTTAATAGCAGAGGCAAACTAGTTGTAGTTATATAGCATACTTTTCAGATAAATTACGTATATTACAAATAATTCCAGGGTATATAGTAGCCAAGTCATATTTAGTTCTAGTGAAAATATTGCGCATACGTCACGTGCGCACGCAATGGGGCCAGGGCTTTTTGCCAAAGATCAGTGACAGCATTTTGCACAATGCTTTAAAACACTTTCTTGACAATATTCCAGAAGCTGAATATTTATGGTGGCTAGTATATTTACTAGAAGTGTCTACTTGTAGTATTCCACACACACACATACTCACACACACACGCAGAAAGAGGGACGCACACCTGTCGAGTTGCGTTATTGATAGGACATTTTATCTGCTTCGATACACACATATTGTGAGGGGTAGCATTTGCGTATATTATATGCATGGACTATAATACAATGTGCGATAATGTAATCGGAGGCTTCAAGTCTTTTGTGGCCCCATTCCCCCACCCCACAAAACAGCCCCGTCTGTGTCAGCGTCAGCAAAGCTAAACGAGCAAAAATAATAAATAAAAGATAAACTTTCCGTTGATTGGATGAATGACAAAATTAAATTATTTTGATTTGAGGCCGTTGGTGGGTGGACAATTAAATATGATTTCCGCCTGCTGCCCAGGCATGTAAGTAATTGGGGTTAGACTTGAATTAGAACAGAACTCGAGAACTTGTTGTATTTGCTGTACTTGGCGGCAACTTAAACGCCCCTGACATTACCTAGCAAATTGTCTGTTTGTTTGTTTGTTTGTTTCTTTTGCTTTTTGTCAATATTTAGTTTAACTTAAGGCTGCACAGATTTCAGCAGTGCATAGATAGTTACCTTTGGCGAGATAAACTTGGAGTCAACTAGACTTTGGCACCTTGGCATAGATTTGCATAAGTAAGTCAACAAGCAAATATTTCGGCGCAGTTAAATAAGCGGCTAGAACTCTAATGCGCATAATTTATTAATTATACCCTGCGCCCATTGATTGGGTAGGCAGGG